TAAATTTGTTTTTATAAATATTTATAATAACTAGTTTTTTAATCATTTATTTTTCATTTACAAGTAGAATCGCTTAATCCGGTTTTAATAGCATTTTTATTGTTCTATATTCAAAATCAAAAAAAAATTGAAAAAGATATATTATATTTTAAATATAATAAATTAAATATAATATTATTAAAAATTTATATTCATGTGAAAAATTTAACGACTATTAAATTTCACCCGAAAAATTGCTGATGTTTATACTATTATTATATAATTTTATGAAAAAAATTACGATAATTTATCTGAATTCATTTTAAAGAGAAAAACCTCTATTTTTAAATTTGATTTTAAACATGCATATGGTTAATATTAGTGTTAGTATACATTTAGCATGTATTTAGCATGTGTATTTAGTGCGGTTTTAGTATGCGTTTGATGGTGATGAATCTGTTATTAGTGCATGCTTAGCATGTTTAGTACACCTAGAAAAGAGTATTTTCTCGATGCCTTATCATACCTTGGCATCGTTCTTGAATATTTAAACACGCAAAACACATATTAAATTAAACACATAAATAACATATATATATATATATATATATATATATATATACATATATGTTAAGCACACACTAACCATACACAATATACGAAATACAAATCCAATTGTATAATTTTTTCATGATGTACTTTAGATTAGATTATTCTAATGCCGATGGCACAGTTTCAAATAGTATAAAATATTATAAAATTGCTAATAAAAATTAACAATTTATAAAAATTATTGTAAAGAAGAGACTTCCCTTTAGAAAGTTATTTAAAAATAACTTGAATTTGTAAGAAATTTTTAAGAAAAAAAATAAGTTTCAATTTTGCAACAAAAAAAAATTTTTAAAAAAGTTAAATTCAAGTTGTGAAGTATGTGAAAGTAAAAACTTAAAATGAGTATGTAAACTATTTCATGTACAATTTCTTTTTTTACAATGTTATGGTTATGATTAATAGTTTAAATACCAGAAATTGTTTGTGAAAATTAAATATGAATAAAATAAAAAATACTACAAAACAAAAAAACAAGAAAATAAGAAACAAGTAATAATGTAAACTTTTTATGAACAAAAATAATTAAATTCATTTCTAATTATTTAATCTATTAAATTACGATCACTAATCTATTATATTTCGATCAATAATCACTTTTTGTCTTACGTATATTAAACCTCATTTCGATTAATTAAGTTATTCACACTCTCAAATAACATGAAAATATGAATTTGAAAATTCATATTTTTTTCATTATTCACTTTCATTTCTAAAATTTTTATTACGTTTTTGTTAATAATAATTTTTCATAAATTTTTTAAAATTTAAAAATATTTTCTTTTTTCTATTTCTTATATATTAAATAATAATCTTAGTATCAATGGTAGCAACTTGATACCATATTTGAATCGAACTTCATATCATACAAAATTATATTGAAAAGATACTAATTTTAGTTAAAGTTTGAAAGAATTTTTAATGAAATAATAGTTCATATTATTTAATTTGCTTTTTGATTAATTTATATCAAATTATCAATTTATATCAAATTAATGCATGTTTTGTTTTGATTTCTCGATGATAGAATATGATAAATAATATGCACGTATATAATATATTATTATTTATATATATAAAAAATAATATTATTTATTAATATTATATTATTATTATTTAATTATACCAATTATTTAATTATATTAATATTATTTAATTATACCAATATATAATATAATAATTAAAAATTTTTTATGACACGAAACATTAAATGCATTTTTTTTTATTAGATTTTTAGCTATTTAATTTTACGTTTATTTTAAGTTTAAACAATTTTAATATTCATATATATAGTTATATTTTTATAATTTCTATCATCTTATAATTTCTATTATCCATCTTATATAATTGATTTATATAATAATGTATTTTTCTTCTTTCAAATCATTAATATAATAATATGCATTCTTATAATTGTAAGATAGATGTTGTAAAATAGAGAATCTTCTTAATTTCAACTTTTAATTGATCTTATAATGAATGTTTCCAATAATGAGTGATCACCAAATATTTTTTATTTATTTCTATTTTCTCTATATTAAATATAGAAAATAAGAGTTTTATTTTAATTTCTTATTTTTTTTTCAGATATATAATTTTTTTTTTAATAACGATAATATTTTTTACAATATGTGTAATATATATTTTATTAAAATTAAATAAATAAATTAGAATCCTCATGTACTTGTAACATGTACTCTATTAAATTTAAAAAAATAAATAAAATTAAGATATCATATCAAAAGATTATTTTCTTTATTTTTTCAATCTCTTTTATTCTTTGTTTTTCTTGATTGGAAGAATAAATCATATAATTACCAAATAGAAGTGCTGTAATGTATTTATAGAAACAGAAGATTATAAAATAAATTTTAATAAGAAAACAGAAAGCATAAAAGAAACAAAAGAAAATGATCAGAAATTATATTCAAATTAAACTTTAGTCAAATTAAACTCGATGAAATCAGTTTTACTATGCGAGAAGATATAAGTAAATTTTCTCATTTTTCATTTAAGGAATTAACAATTTATTTAAATTTATTTAAGGAATTAACAATTTATTTAAATTTATTTAAGGAATTAACAATTCACTATGAACTTGATGAATTCAAATATCATCATCAAAATAAGATTCACTCCTTCCTAACTTTATTTTCGTTTCGATTTACATCGACAATATAATTCCATCTGTTATTTTTGTCTCTGTTATTTGTGAAGTTGTTTTTTTGTCAGTTGAACAAATATCTACATTACTCTATTATCTTTGCTATTGCTGTCATCATTATAAAGGAAATATTTGCAATCAACAAATTTACATTCTTGTTTTATGCAATAAAATTAAATTCTTCTCAAATGAAAAATGTTATATTTAACGTTATATTAACGTTTTCATAGTTTTTCATATTTCATTCTCACAATTTTGTCAGCTTAAATAAATCACAAGCTTTTACATTTTCCATCTATAATTTTTTTAAAAAGTTATTTCTTTTTAAATATCTTAAAAATTCATCAACTTTATATTATTTTTTCATTAAGATATATATATTATTAATATATATATCTATAATATATATATATATATATATATATATATATATGTGATAATGTATATGATATATATAATATAATAATGTATCTCTACAAACAGATTTTTGATTAGTGAAATATAAAATAAAATAATAACAATTATTATATTATATTATATTAAAATATATATATTATATTAAAATATAAATGATGATAGTTACAAAAATTATATGATTATCTACCTATTTATTAGGAAAATAGAATCATTTTATTGTAATTTTTCTGAAAATTAAACACTAATAATTTTAAATATTTGTTGATTAAATACAAAAATAAATATATGAGCAATATAAACAAAAATATAAAATAAACAAGATAAATTAAATAAGAAATATAAGTAATGAAGAGATTATAGATATTTATATACTATTTTATATAAAATTTAAATGTATAAAAATTTATAGAACGCATATGATATATAAAAAGACATGTAATACGTATTATGTATTGGATATATGCATTTTGCATTATTATTAATATTATATTTAAAAAATAAAGCAAATCTCTATTTAAACTTTATTTATTTAGTTATAAAAACTCATAATTTAAAGATTAAAAGAATGTATCATATAATTTAATAATAATATAATATATTTTTATATAGATTTATGTTTAATTATACATATTATTGCCAAGGAAAATAATTTTGTCAAAATATTTTATTATAATTTTGACATAATAGTTAACTTTTAAGCATTTACAAACAATCTATTTAAACAAATTTAGTGAATGATTTAATAAAAACTTTCTATTATTTATAAAATAGTTATATCAAATGAATAATAATAATGCAACAGAAACAATAGAAATATTTTTATTCAGAACGAATATTATTATTAGAATATTATTATTAGAAAACCATGAATGAAAGTTAAATAGAATTTCGAGTTGAAAACAAAGAAATTAAATGGATGAATTAATAATTAATAGATAGTTTATGTACTCAAAATTAGATATTTATTCGTAATACATGTTGGTAAATACTTTTCAACTCTGAGTTTATATTTAACTCAACAAGTTACCATAATCCATAACTGTTGCAAACTCTCCATATAGATAGATTTAGTCCATTATCTTGTGTGTATATATATATATATATATATATATATATATATATATATATGCGAAATATATAATATATGTATATATATAATGTATATCTGTATATATAAAATATGTATATATATATGTATATATATATGTATATATATATATAATATTCAAAATCATATTAACTTAACTTTTAAGAATAAAATTATTTTATTTGATATAATCGAAATCATATATATTTTTATATATCATTGTTATCTCTCATTTTATTTTCTATTTTAACTGATTTCAAATGTGTCACATCTGAAAAATTCAGATTGATTACATTTCTCAGCCATTATAATATTTTGATAAAATTAGAATAGAAATTAAAATCTGAAATCCTTTTTGGTATTATGAATTGAGAAAATAATTGTCTTTAAAAACTCAAGATTCTGCATAATATTTTCTAAAAATAATATGCAATTAAAGTTTTATTGTATATAAATTACACTTTTCATGTCTCTTGATTTAAAATTAAGAATAGTACATATAATATATACTTTTTCTAATCATAGAAAATTTAAACATAACTCTAAATCAATATTCATGTCTCAATAATTAAATCATGAAAAGGATATTAATTTTTGTCACATTTTTTTATCTACTATATCAAATGGATCTTCAATGGAAAAAAATTGTCTTTTCCCAAATCGATCATCAATACGATTCCTTTTTTCTTTTTTTTTTTTTTTCACTTTTACCATTTTTTTTTTTTTTTAATTATTATTTTTCAGAATGCTGGCAACTCATAATAAAAGCCGTGAACATACCATCGGCAGTGAAAGCCGAAGACACCGATTATGTGATCCTGGATTGCGACTACGATCTCGAAGATACACCGAGCAACGGATTAGTAGTAAAATGGTTCTTCAACGCGAACGAAGTGGCCTACCAATGGATATACGGTAGGGACCCTCTAGCTGGAGATATTACGCGGAAGTATGTTGATTTGAAATATAAAGCTAGCGATAATCCATACACTACGTACCGAGCCATGAAATTGAACAAGCCCGGTATCGATCTTAGTGGCGAGTACAAATGTGTCATATCCACTTTCGCGGATGAGCAGTCTGCAAGTGCTTCCATGCTTGTATATTGTAAGTATTTCATTAATTTGCGATCTTTCATGCAATTTATATCACATATAATAATACTGTGATTTCGAGATTTTCTTCTTTTTTATTTTTTTTTTTGTTTCCTTATTTTTTTCACTCAATTTAACATTTTTATTATTTTTCTTTTCGATAGAAAATAGGATGAAATACAATATTCATATATTATACGAACTTTATTTCTAATAGGCATTTCTTTCATATAGAAAGTAGACTTAGAAAAATATTAGATATTTTTTTCGACAAAAAAAAGACTTGAGTTAACTATATTTATAAATATTGAAATCTTAGATCAATATGTAGTCTGAAATATTAGATTTCATCTAAAAATATTAATATTAATATCAATATAATACGATATTTTACGATACGATAATTCTCGATATTTTTTTACCGAATATAAAATCAAATTATCAATAGTTGATTGAATTAAAAGATAATTTTATTTTTTTATCTAAAAAATATCTCTATTTATTTTCTGTCAAATGATATTTCTTAAAGAACTATTTATTAAAATTCAAAAAAGAATTTGTCACGAAACTCTCAGTAAGGAAAATATACTATTAAAAAGCAATGTTTTTTTTGTCTATTATTTTTCAAAGAAATAATTTTCGATGATTTAAATAATAGCTTACAAGTGAATAGAACAAATTTCAATATTTTTCAGAAAATATTATCACAAAATTAATTCAGATAGAAATGATTTTTTTGTGCAATCGAACTATTTTTTTCCAAAATTGAAGAACTTTATTTAAAAAAGTTTTCAATTTTTCAATTAGATTTTTCAGGTTTTAGATTTTTTAACAAGAAATATAATAATTGATGATAAATACCAATTTTAATGCAATTTTATATAATTATTTTACATAATTATTTTACATAATTATTTTACAATTTTATATAAAATTTCATTTCTAATTCATGTTACTTTAAAAAATTGATAATTTTTTATTCCAGATACGTTTTCTTTTAAATATTTATAATTTTTAAACGATAAAAATATCAAAAAATAGTTCGTTAAATTAAAGCTTTACTAAAAATGAAATGAAAATATATACATATACATAAATCTATATATATACATATATACATAAATTTATATAACAAAATTTCTTCAAAAATAAAATATTTTAAATATATTTTTTTTTTCATAAAAAATATAAAAAATATATATTTTTCAAAGTTATAACAGATCAATTTTTTTTTCGATGAATATATGATCTTTTAATCATAATCATTTAATTTTGTAAAAAAATATATTATATTATATAAAATTTTAAAAGTTATAATAAATAATATTAAAGTTAATATAATAATAATAAAATTGCTATATTCGTTCCAAAATGCAAAGAAAAATTAAAAATATTTCATTAACATTTTTAAAATTTAAATTTAAACCTTTTTTAAAAACATATTCTATTAAAAAAGTAGAATCGATGTATCAATTTCATATTCAAAATAATTAAATAATCATACTTTTAAAAATTAAAACAAAAAATGAATTTATCAAGGAGAATGAAATACTCCATAATAATAATTTTATCGAGTCTTATTTTTTGAATACAATCAGTGACAAAAATTCATTATATATATCATACCAAAGTCGATTTAAATTTCAAAAATACAAAAGTTGAACTTTCACGTATGATTAGTAATAATATAAAAAAAAAATGATATTTGAAAATATAGTAAGTATTTGAAAATATTTGGTTTTTATTATTTAATTATTCTTTATATATATATGTACATATATTATTAAATGCATAAGTTATTTCAGAAATAAATAGCTAAATTTTGGTATTTTATTTATAATAGAATTCATAAAAATGCTTAAAATTTATTAAAAATAATTATTAATAAGAAAAATACGATTAAAGAGAATAGAATACGATACTAAATTTTGATATATTTCTGAAGTACTCTGCATGCTTAAGTAATGGGATAGAAAAATATAATGTATTTCTATTTGACTGAAAAAAAATAAGTATTTTTTTATTTATTAAAACTATATGGCAATAAAAATATATAGACAACAAATATTATTTTATTCATTTATTGTACATATTTATACATTGTACATATTATAATTATACATTTTTATAAAAAATATTTATATTAATGTACAATTTAATAAATTATATAAATAAAATATATATAAAAATAAATATATATATATATATATATATATATANTTATAAAAATATAATAATTAAAATTATATGTATTTATAGTATAATAAATAAAATATAGTATTATTTTATTTAATTTAATTTTACTATAATGAAAATGATTTGAATCATGATATTTTAGTGAAAAGCGAAAGATCATTAACTATTACGTTAGAACTATTACGTTTTTCTATACACGCAATTATTTCAAATTAGGATAAGCAAGTTTTTTTATATTGAAAAATGGATTATGAATATATAAATATGAATATTTACAATTGTATATAAAGAACAAAAATAATAATATTTGAATCAATGTTGAAATAATGAAATATTTTTCTTTTTTCAAATTTAAAAAAGAAAAAAATTGTAAAATGTAACTGAGATGAATTTTTTTTTAAATAAAAAAAATCTTAATTTTAAAAAAAATAAATAAAATTAAATTTTTAAGTGAAATAATTTAATTTGATTTGATTACTCTAAAAAATTGAGATAAATTAATAAAAACTTATTTATTTATTATTGTTATTATTATTTATTATATTTATTAATGTTATTTATTTCTTCATTATTAAAAGACATGATTTTTTATAAAATCATTTATATTTAAATTATTTCAATTATTTCAATTATAAAAATTATTTACTATTTATAATAGTAATATATTTATAATAGTAATATAATAATTTATAATATAATAATTACTATTTATAATAGGTTTAATAAAATAAATAGTCAGCAATTGCTAATGCAATTAAAATAATATAAACAAAAAAATCTCCATACACTATCTTACAAAAAATTTACTTAAACCAAAAATTTAAATTTTGATAAAAATTGTACATATACAGCATACATAATAGATGTATAGAATAATTTTTTTATCGATAAGAAATCTCTTTGAGAAGATTAATCTATCTTCAAACTTTCAATATTTTTTTAATTTTTATAAATAATTATGCTTGATGAATTCTTTTTTATAATAATGTAATTAAAAGTATTAAAAATTAAATAAAAAATATTTAATTTTATCATTATTAAATTAATCAAATAGTTAATTTTTATCATACTATTATAAAAAAAAAATTTTGAAATTTGTTCTTTGCTTTTTCAAAAAAATTTCCTATTAATAAATAAATATATAATTTATTATATTTTACATTCACAAACTTCTATTAAAATTAGAAATTTTTGTTTAATAAATTTTTGTTAAGTAAATTTATAAGTAAATAATAAATTTAAAATTAATAAAATAATAATAAATTTATAAAATAATGTACAGAAATTTTTTTAACTGATTATATTTAAATAATAAATGGTATATAAAAATTAAATCTTATCTTTAATTATATTTTTTCACAATCATTTAAACATTCATTTTCTTTTATTATTATCTTTGTCTCAAAAAAAAAATCAATAGACAAGTACAAACAATTCAGCTTCTATCTTTTCATTCTTTGTTCTTATCTTTCTTTTTTTCTGCTTTTTCCTTATTTTTCTTCCTTTTATGCTCTTATTCTTTCATATATTTTATAAACTTTTTCGTATAAAATTCATACATGATTTAGATATGCGATAATTTTATAACATATCCTTTTTCAACCTTTGACAATATGGCAAATGAGCGATTCTGCAGCCTTATAAATGCTATCATTTTTATTTAATTTTAAGCAATAAAAAAAAATGATATAATTATCTAATAAAAGAATAAAAAACAGCTTTGATTAATGATAAAAAATAATTATTAACATATCAAATTTTTTAAAATATGTTAATTAATCGAACCAAATAAAAAAATTTTTATAAGAAATTATTATTGCATATTCATATAATAATTTTGAATTTATTTATTAAATATTTAAATTATTGAATGAGGAAAAATAATTTCGTTACTTAAATTTATAATTCGTTATTAAATTTATAATTTTTACAAATGATATTACAATATCATTTGTAATTTCTAAAGCAATTTATAATATATTATTATATGTATTACTATTATTTAAGCAAATGATATCTATAATTCGCTAAATTCATATTGATTCATTCATTTTAATAAATGTTTCGATATAGTATATTTATATTTTTACCATATATTTTTACAATATTATATATATAATATTACACATATAATATTGTACATACATATGATGCGTATAATGTGTATAATAAAATATTTTATAAATATAGATTAAAGCTTATAAATTATCTCCTATAAAATCAAAGGAAATGAATGAAAATCTTTTTTCAGAATATTTGAATTAATTAAGTTTTATAACAATATAAAGAAGAAAATAAAAATAAATAAAATAAATAAAAAAGATTGTAATTATCTTGTAGCAATTGTAGTAATCTTATAAATTTTGATTTATCTAACAACAAATGATAAATATATATATTGAACAAAAATAATAAAATAATAATAAATAAATTATTAATAAATCAAATAAATAAAAATTCAAGTAAATTTATAATTCATAATTTTTATAATATATAATAATAATATTTATTTATATTTATTTATTTATATTATTTTATTTATAATATAATTATTTATAATATATATGCATAATTTATTTTTTCCAAATCGTACTTATTTTACTGAAAAATAAAATTACCATCTGCTACGACAAAGCAAAAACATAGAAAAAAATAGAGCTGAAGAAAGAGAAAAAAAAGAGAAAGAATCAAATGAAAGAAATCGAAAGTTTAAAAAAAATATCGCAATAATATAGCATCATTTTCGATAGACATTACTATTATCTTTTTATTTTTACTGCTATGTGTAATCGTTGCGAAATATCCATTTTTTCTTCTGTATATTTATGTATCTATTCGATGGATGATCATAAATTTTTTTATAACCATGCATTTATAACGCCGTGAAATTAAATAAACGATCATTCAAATTTGAAATCATTTTGCTATAAGATTTTCTAACAATGGTGGAAAAAATTGATCGATCGACTCAATATTCTTTAAAGATTATGTGAATCAGAGTTAGTATTATACATCATGAATTAGTATTATACATCAATATATGTGTATATATTATATAATATTATTTTATATATTATTATTAATTATATACTATATAATATTATAAAATAATATTATTAAATATATTATATACTAATATAACTGGACTATATAAAGATTGATTATATAAAGATTATTAGATAAGAAAAATTTTTTCTTTGAATAGATTTCTATTTTGCTTTTTAAGATGCTTATCAAATATATTTATTATTGGATGAAAATTGAAATTAAAATGATATTTTTAATACTTTTATTTGAATTAAATTTTCTAAGGTTTAATAAAATATTTTATAAAAGAGATTACAAAATTTCACAAAAAGATTATTATTTTATCGATTATTTATCAATTATCCATTTTATAAATTGTATTATTTAATAAAGACAGAAGAAAATTTATTTTTTGATTTTTTAAACAATATTCTTTCTTTCCGTATTTGAAATCAAAATGCCTTGTATTCTTATCACAAATAAACATAGAATTTGTTAAAACAATGTCCAATTCATATTGTTATCAATCATAATCATAAATATGAAATATGAAGAAACAAAGCAAAAAATTCAAACGAAGTAAAATTTATATGAAATTTGTTCAATTTAGATTTAATGAAACGTATGTAAAATATTCTGAATTTTCTTGAAGTGAAATAATATTAAAAGTATTATCATATATATCTTCAACTCTAAGGACTAAAAATAATAATTACTATTAAAATTCTTATGAGAAAATTCTTTGAGATTCAATATTAATATTTATTTAAATGAAAAATAGTAATAAATCTTAAAGAAATTTTTCAAAAAATGATTATAATTAAAAAATATTTATTTATTAATTTTTTATTAATAAATTCTTTTTTCATAAATAAGTCATTATAAATAATTAATATTTTTTTTATCGATAATATTGTTTATTAAAATTTTTTTCGATTGTTTTTCATCGCATAATGATTAAAAAATATAAAAAGACAGTAAATATAAAAATTTTAAATTATAAAATAATAAAAATATATTAAATGAGAGATTTTTTGAAAATATCTTTTTAAAAATATAATATAATATGAAGTAATAAAAAGTAAATGAAAATTTTTTTTCGATTTAAGATGATTAAAGATTAAATATTTATCGATAATAATTATTCATTATATATATTTATTCATTATTCAGAATTATTTAAACTAAAATAATAATTATTACATAATATAACTTTTTCATATTTTGGATATAATATTTGAAATTAGCATTCATTTCTGTTTATAAATATTATTTTTTTCATTAATTTAATAATAATTTAATTTAATCGCCAATAATTTAAAAAAATGTTCAAAAATTTTAAAACATGTTATTCTAATAAATATAATAATTTAATAAATAAAAAAGTATGAACGTAAATTTAAATATTTAAAAATAATAAAATTTTTCAATATTTTTCAATTTTTTTTTCTAAATTATTTTTCCTTTTTTCGAAAATGTTTAATATGTATATTTTAAATTGATAATTTAAAAATAAGTGAAAACATGTAATCTATGTTTCAACACAAATATCTTCCAAGATATTATAATTACGTATACAATAACATATACGATAATTAAAATAACATATAGATTATCTTTTATATTAAATTTAATAATTGATATCATTTGAAATAGTAATTTCTTGTGTAACACTTATATAATCAAAATATATTGAAAGAAAAATAATAAATGAATAAGAAATAATGATATTATTCAATATGATAATTTAATTTTCAATATGATAATATGATAATAAATCATCAATATGATGATAATAATGTATATAATAATTAAAAAATATATGGATGATATTTATATTAAAACGAATAGAGATAATAACAATAAAATAAGATCCTAAAATCCTAAAATTAAACTTTGTTTTTCAAATATAAATGTTAAAATAATATTTAAAAAATTAAAGTTACAAAAGTTGTTTTTATATTATAAGTTGTTATATACTTATAAATATTTATAAATAGATAATACTTATAAATAGATAATAATTAATATAAGTATTCGATAGCTCAACTGAGTTGTTTGTATATCGATTTTGCAAATAAAAATCAAATTATTCGTAATTTGTAAAATAAATCTCGATTGAAATTTATTTTTTATAATTTGATATATTATAACAAAAATAAACAATATTAATAATAATAAGTAATTAATAAATAAACAAATACTAAACTATTTTTAATGGAATTTAAAATATATTTGGAAATTTTAATAAAAATAAATGCAATAAAATAGAATATTTGCCAAGAAAAAATAAATTCGATGCACAGAACAAATAAAATTTCACAAGCGCTTTTCATAACAGTATATACATCCAAAATCGGGCGAACAATTCGAAAATCATCATTGAACTACAATTTAATTATACCGTATGTACGTTCAAATTTACTTGACAATTTATCTTAAACCTACAATAAAAAAGATAACACAGATAGAAATATCAGCAAATTATACGCAAAAAGTAAAAATTTTAAAGAAAAAATATTTAAAATATAAATATATTTTGAAAAAATAAAATTTTCGTTTTTATATAAATATTTAATAAATTATAGTCAAGTTTTTAAACATTTTTAAATGAAATTAATTTCTGATTATCAATAAGAATTATCAATAAGATACAGATGATTATCAATAAGAAGTAATTCAATATTTGAAGATAAGAAAAGAATATAAAATAAATTTTGTTTATTTAGAAATTAATTTTCCAAAAAATTAAATTTGAAAATTTTTTTTCAAATTTTTATGCGATTTCCATGATATACCTGATGATATACGTTAAATCTCGATCCTCTTAAAAAGGATATTGCGATAAAATTTCATTCCGCATTTTTTATTTATTATATAGAATAATCATCTATCGATAGTTGATTCATATCCAATCGAAAATAGGCAATTTTATTTTTATTTGATAATTTTTTGAAATTGATTTATTTTAAATGAAAAAATTTTATTCTATTTTCTACATCGATTTATTTTTTCACATAAAATCATTTTCTATTCAATCATATCATATATAAAATATATTAAGATAATATAATCTACCGATTTTAATAAAAATAAGGGTTCAAATATCTAAATCTATCTATTTCTATCTAAATCTATCTATATCTAATATCTAATATCTAAAACACAAATTTCATTTAAAATTAGATATTATATTACATATAATGTACAATTATTACATTATAATACATATATAATATATATAATTTATTATTACATATAACGTTTTTTATTCAATATATAAAAGATTATTTCTAATATATTTTTAAAAATAATTACAAAATTTTATTTCAATGTTTAATAATTATTAAAAATCTTATACATTAAGATTATAAAATAATATTTCTTATGTTTTCTTTTATTTAATTTATTTAATTTTAATAAAAAGTATTTTAATATAATAAAATTTTTATAAATGTATAACGTAGAGAACATAAATTAAAATGATAAAATTAAATAATTTATAATTAAATAACTTAATCTAAACTATTTTCAATTATTTTTATGTAATAAAGATTCTTAAATTGTTCAAATTATTTTTATTTTAAATTATATTATATTTAAAATATCAATCTTGTGAAAAATAAAAACGAATCATATTTTTATTTTAAATATTTTCATAAGAAAAGATTTTACAATATTATTATTTATGAAAATTAATAAGTTAATTTTGTATTTATCTATTTCTATAAAATAAATATGACAAATTTTTCATAACTAGTTTTTAATTGTGAATTTTAAATAAATTAAGTTGATATCTTGTTTAAAATAAAATAATTGGTTGTTCTAGCAACGGAAGATAAATTCGATCTTGTGTATAGGAAGAAAACTATAAACGATAAGAATGGGGTAGAGATAACGTGTATGGCAGAAGGACTATATCCACAACCCACTCTAGATATATCTATCGAGTAAGTAGTTCAATAAGATTTTTAACATTTTATGTTTTACGATATATTATTACGATATTTTCTATAAATTATCTATTTTCTTATTTCTTATATTTTTTATCATATCTAAATCTTATAAAAATTTACTAAAATCTTGATAAAAATTAATTTTTATTATTTTTTATTCTATAATTACTCTATAATTTTTTTACTCTATAAAAATTAATCCTTATTTTATAACGAAATAGAATATTTTTACATAGTACATTATGTAATATATTATTATTCATCATAAGATTCTAATTATTTCTTATTTTCGATATATTTTCATATTTTTATCTCATTTATTTTATTTCTTAAAAACTTTATTTTTAAAAACTAAAATTTACATTATTTATTATATAATATTTTATACATTTATAAAATTCTATTTATTTATAAAAAATTAGTAGATAAATTTTAACGAATTATAGAGAAATTTTTAATATTGAATAGAAATTTTAAGCAAACAATTAAGTTAATCGTTAAGTATAATAAATACGAAATCGCAAAAATTTTTTTATTAAATATTAAAAAAAATAATACAGATATAATAATTTAATAAGAAATTCTACAGATATTTTACAGTAACAGAAGTATATAATAAAAATATAAATCATAAAAATGAATTTGTTTTATTTTTATATCGAACATATTTATGTACTGATATTTTAATAATATTATATAAATATTATATAAATATTATATAAATATTATATAATATTTTAATAAAATATTAATTTTCACTTATTTCTATGATAACATAATCTTGAAACTTATATAAAAAACCATGTTAAAAGTATAGAACAAAAACATTCTAAATTAAATAAATACATATCTTTATTACTCTAAATAAAAGTCTATATTAAAATTCTCAACGTTCACAATAAGGTACGAATTTAGATTGTTTTCCTTCTTTTGAAGAATAATATGCGTTTAAATTATTTTTTTAGTATATATTTCAAAAAATATCTGTAACGAACATTAATCTGAATTTCCCAATTTATGAAATTACAAATTTTATTATTACAAATAATTATTGTTACAAATAATATTTTAATGTAATAGTTAATATTTTTTAATATTATTTTTTTTTAATATTTATAAGTACATATTTATATATTTCTTTTATCGAATTTATCCTCATCGATTTCAATTTTTGAATATATTGTAAAAATAAACATTTCAAATAATTTTTTTACTTTTATACGTTATCGTCGATTTTAATTTTCAAGATATTTTCAAAAAAATATTCTATGATATATCCAAAAATCAAAATTAGTAAATATCTATTTCCTTATTTATATTATTATTTAAAATTTTTTATGTTCAAATTTAAATTTAAATATTTATAAAAAATATAATTTAAAATTTTAAAAAAGCTCGAAATTTATGATTTGCCCAAATTTTGAATTCTTTTGCTTTTCAAAATTATTTAAATTTTATTTCTAAATTTCTATCATTTGAAATAAAACCAAAATTTCAACAAAAAAAAATATCAAATTATAATTCTTTTTATAATAGAAGGATTCATATAAAAGGACTATATCCACAATATTATTATAAACAATCTCAAATTCTTCGATTCAAAGTAAAATTATTTCAAACCAAAAAAATTATATCCAAACAAACATTAAAGTTTATAAGAGCAAACAAAACAAAATATTTTTAAAATAATATTAAAGCAAGTTTACAAATGCTGAAATCGCATGTCGCAATATTGCCATGGACATAGATCTACATCAACTTATCATCAAGCGATGAGTTTAAATAGTTTACATAATTGAAATTGGTACAATAATGCATCGTGTTCCAGCATTGTGTAAAATATTGACTTAAATTCACCGAGTTGATTCATTGAATCATACATGCGTTGCAATATATTTCAACGTGTGTAAACCGCTTAATATGGTAATGCCTGTTCATTTAGCCAACATATCGCATGATATTTCGATTTAAATATAGCCATAATAATTTTGCAAATGCTTCCATTGCAGGGATGTCCCAGAAAAGCAAACAAAACCTACTATTACACTACGGGCCGATGGACTATACGATATCTTATCACGAACAATCTTACTTGATGAAAATTTACCTGAAGCAGCAATTGTCAAATGCTTGCTTGGTATACCGAAGGTGAACTATAATATTTCTCACAAAGCTGTCTACTATCCCGGTTAGTATAAATGTATTTTAATTTATCTTATTTTCATCTTTCTATTTCTTTATATATTTCTTTCTTCCTCTGTCGCACTTATTAAAAAATAAATACTTAAAAGTGATTTATTTTCTATCTCTTTATAGTTCGCAGCTATAAAAAAAATAAAGAAAAAAAATGAAATAATTATTTAATTAAAAAGTAAAGAAAAAATATAATTTGTATTTATGCGAATTCACAACATTATCATTTCCGATCCATCAAAAATAATCATATTCCTCCCAAATTAGTTTATTTTGCTTGTATTTTACGATATAAATATCTATTTATCCAACGAAGTTGTTTGCTTTTATAATTTAATAAAATCACTTGTTTTAAATTGTTTTCATTTAAATTTCGTTTTCAAATTTTTTCAATCTATGCGTGAAAAGAATATAAAATTTGTGACAATCTACAAATGATAAAATGAAACGTAATATTTTTTTCTAAAAATTTATACAACCTTAAAAGATTTGTTTATTCTTGAATATAAAACTAAATTAAAAATACTGTTCAAAATATATACTATTTCAAATATTATTCAAAAAATATGCACATTGAAGCAACAATAATATTTTTTTTTAGAAAAGAAAAATAGAATAACATGTTATCTCACTCTGTCATTAAACGATTTTGAACGGATATAAATATTTATAGCTTCTCGTTTTTATAAATCTTTAACTCATTTTCAATTTTTTCATTTTATGATCGACCGTAAACAAAAAAAGTGAAAATAACAATAAGTTTATTTCGAATCAATTGACTGTTATTTATTTCGAAACAATATTTTATATACAGAATATAAAATCACTTGTTAATCGAAGATTTCTAAGATAATTTTAAGCAACATTTTTCTTTGCAAAAACTTTAATTATAATTTTTTTAATGAATTATTAACAAAAAATATTGGTCAATTACGAAATATATCACAATCACAAATATACAAATAATCACACTTTTACGATATTTTGTACATAATCTATAATTTTCTCTTTTTCTCGCTTATTAATAAGATATTAATGCGATATGATATATTAAAATAATATTAATATATTAAAATATTTTTAAATCACTTTATAACGTATATCAAGTCTGATTTCTTCATAATTATCTTCCATCAAAGATATTAAATTATACTGGAAGGTTATCAATTACATTTTTGTTTCATCACGTTCAATTAAATATTATCCGTCAATTAATCTTCGATTGACTTAACTAACAATTAATTTATTTCTGTGGAAGTACTAAACAATAAATTTATGCATAGACATAAATAAACAAAAATGATAATATAAAGATTTTACTAAATATTAAACTAATCTTTCGCTATATTTTATTACAAATTCATTGCAATAAAAATTCATAAATTAATAATATTTTAATTTTATAATATTAATAATTATATAATATTAATAATTTTAATATTTTTTATACAATTATTTTAGATGTATCGAAAATATTTAATATAGCGTATATACTTATATATGTGAATTTTCTTTCGATATAAGAAATTGAATTTTGAACATCATATACGCGACAGTATATGATGTCTTTTATACATTATTATACTTTGACATTTATTCCGAAATATTAACATTTTAACCGATAGAATTGTTAAACACAAACACATCAGTAAATCATTTCTTAAATTTATTTTACCATCTAAATTTTTAATTTTATTTTTATTCTAAGTTTTCAATAAATACACGCAAATTCATTATGAAAATAAATTTAATTTTAATCCGAATAATACAATATAATACAATATAATACAATAAAACAAAATAAAAATTATCTTTGTTATTTCAAACAATGATATAATATTTTAATATTATTTTATTCGCATATTTCTCTCTTTATTCAACATAGAATCCTAATATATATTTTTTATTTTTCATTTTCATCGAAACAATAATAAACTATATATAATTTGATTTGTTTAATATTCCTAAATGATGAAATATTTATGTATTAATTATATTACTTTTTTTAATAAAATAACTAATACTTATACATGGTATGTAAAAAAAAAAATACACGATTCTCAAACATAGTAAATAAATATTTAAACATATTTTAGATATTTTTTATAAATATTTTATTTAAAAAAATTATAAAAAATTATAAAAATAATTTTAAATTATAAAAATATAATTTTAGTTTATATAAATTCAATGATAATATTTCTGAATGTAGTAATTTTCTGTTTTGTAAAAAATAGAATATAAATAGAATATATATATTTAGAAACGAGAAAGATTAATTTTCATAAAATAATAATTTTTAACGTATGCGTGGTCATTTTTATTATCTTTTTGATTTATTACTTTTAGTTATTATCTTTTCTTTTTTTCGTTTCTTTTTATTTTGCATATTATTCAAAAATATATAATAAAAGTTTTTAGTATATGGAAAAAGTTTTTCAATAAAATGTTTTTCAATAAAATATTTTAAAAACAAATATTCATAATTAATATTATAATGCAATAAATAATTTCTCTCTTAGAATTTAGCTAAATCATTTGATTTTTCGCAATGCAATATCGTATCAACAAGTCTTACATTTTTTCCAAAAAAAAAACTGATGAATTTTTTTATAATCATTGTTTTCTTTTTGTCACTTTTCATTTAAGCAAATTTTATACTGTTAATTTTTTATATAATCCAAAGAAATTAATAAAAATTAAATAAAAATTATAAGTATAATCTTATTTGTGTAAAAAATACTCGAAATTTTTATTCAAAACCTCGAAAAATTTAAAAATTTTATAAAAAAAAATGAACTTATTATACAAGCCAAAAATCGAAAATAGAAACTTTATAATTCGAGGAGATAGAAGTAGGAAAAATCATATAATAAATGATATTTATTTTCCGTAACAATTTTATATTATTAAATTAACCGAAGTTAGGAATGACAAAAAGAAAATATTTTAATTTATAGGAAACAAAATAAAATAATTAAAATATGTAAAAAATGGTATTTAAATTGAGTAAAAATTTTACTTCAAAAATCTTTCATTTTTGGCTCCAAGTAGAATTTTTTTTAAAATAACAGATAATTTTAATCGATATAAAAAAAATAAAATATAAAAAATAAAATTTTTAATGTATAAAAAATATGTCAGTATTATTATAGTTTGAAAAATTTGAAAATTAATAAAAAAAATTCTTTGTTCAGAAAATTTAAAAAATTATGAAATTTTAAAAATATTATATATAAAATATATAATCATCAATTATTTTTGACCAAATTTGCTTTATTTAAGTAATAAATAAAATTTTTATCAACAAAAACAAACAATTTTTTCTATTATTTATATTTTGCGAGTTACAAATCAATATAAATCAATATATAATTGATTAATTAATTGATTGATTTAAATAATTGATTATTTTAATCGCTAAGAATTAATTCAAACAAGAAAAAATTTAGTTATTATATATCTTTATTAATTTAAATGATTAATAATTCTTAATTTTCTGAATTTCTAGATTAAAAAATTTTGCTTATAAATTCTAATAAAAATAAATGTAAATATGAAATTTAATAACTTTTCCTAATATTGATTATTTCACTGCAGTTTCTTATTATTAAAATGATTAATTATTACTATTTACAAATTTATTATTAAAAATCAATTAAGAAAATTTACATTATATTTAAGATTTTCATACGCACAGATAAAAAAAATTTTTCCAACCTAATAACTAAAAAATTTTATTATTTATTATCACAATTTTAGATATAAAGCTAAGAAATATATTTTTCTAGAAAAGTAGTATTGATTGAAGATGATATAAATTATTATTAATCATTAAACACGTAACATGGAATTTTATTTATATAACAAAATTAATACCGATATACGAAAAATTACAATATTATATTTTATTTCGTTATTTGTTATATATAATAAGAATAAAATACATAAAAATTCGAAAGTTATAGCGGAATTAAAGACGTGTCTGATGATTTAATTTATTACAATTAATAATTTATTACATATATGTTTTAAAAAAGAAGTTATTCTACAGCAAGTTTTTTAAAATTACATTCTGATGTACATATATATACATATAAAAATATTTATTACATATATATTTACTTTGTCATATTAAAAACAAAATAATTATAGGAATAATATTAATAATATTTTTTACAAGTAATTATCTATAAAAAATCTCTTAACGAAATTTAATCTGATATCGTCTAATCGTCGTTTTAAACATTTTATAGATATAAAACAATTGACAGACATTCGAATTTAAATTTAATATAATGTGCATTTTTAAAATATTATTTTTTGTGTATTTTTTTCGAGAAGACAATTAGAAAAAAAAAAAGAGAACAGATTCAATTTTCTCTCAAATGAATGGAACTAAAATAAAAATAAAATAAGAATAAAATACATAAATATAAATGTTAGTTCTAAAAAAGTAAGTTAAAAAAAATTCTCTCGTATAATTAAGCTAATATTATTATTATTGAAATTTTATAAAACATTAATAAATTTTAAATTTCTAAATTTTGCAATTTTTAATTGTTTTATTATATTTTATGTAAAATTTCACAATTTTAAAAGAATTATTTGTAACCTAAATTTATATTATATAAATCATGATATATTTTCTTGTGCATTATTATCTGATTATTATATCGTGCTTTTATCTATTAATTGATTTGGATGATTTTTATATTTGTACTTTAATAAATCTTTCAAGCAATTTACTTAATATTCTTTGATATTTATTATCACCGAAGAATTATATAGATTTATAATAATTAAAGAAACATATTGAAAATGAAACTTCTCGAGTAAATGTTAATATTATTTGATAAGTACGATACCATACATTTTTTTTTTATATAAACTATGATTTGATTACAGGAAACTTCGTTGGTCAATTGTCAATTAACTTCCTCCTAATCATAATGCAGATGGCACTAATCAATATATTCAATTAATTATTAGGTAAGTAA